TCGATGGCTGGGCATTTTGCGATCGCTGGTGGAAGAATATGGATTGATTGTAGACGTGACACTTGTACAGTCTTGTCAGAACCGTGTGGATCGCCTCACCAGAGTACCGCACAGCTGGCTAGAACTGCTCAAAGAGGAGAACTGGCACTCGAGAGCTGTGCAGTGGCAGGAGACGACTGGATGAGGACCAGGTTGCCAACACGCATTGTCAATGCAGACATCCGGCGTGAAACTAACTCTGTACTTCGCCAGGTTAGTCGACCTGCAGGTGTCCAGAGAAAGCGCTTAAATCCATTGTGAAGGCCTGCACAACCTATCAATCGATCGATCCGCACCCATTCACTGGGAAAGAGGAGAACTGGCGTGAAGAGCAACTGGAGCAGACTGGCGATGGACATAACTACTACAATGGTGAGAATTTTTAACGCTTATTGATTGCGGTCCCTCCAGGTTTGGCGGTATGGCGGCCGCTGCGCAGACAAGACGCAAGCACCGTCATTTCGACTGTTGGAGAATGTTTTCCTGGAGCGAGGCCCACCCGTGGAAATACTGACGGACAACGATACTGCATTCACCAGTAAAGATTTTAAAGAATTTATAACAATTGGGACGTGCATCTAAGGGTTTCAATGTGCCTACTCACCAAGTGGAAAATGGCATCGCGGGAGCAGAACCACAGAACCATCAAGACCCATCGCAGCCAGGAAGGGCTGTACAGTATTGTGGCGGTTTACTGGTATAATGTCGCCCTGAAAGATAACGTTTCACCATCCATGGCGCCCGGCTGATGCACTGCACAAATATCATGCCCGTGTGAAAAGGCCGAAGCCAACCCGCTGCCTGAACTAGAAGTGACTGAGGGAGATTGAAAAAGGAGACGCGTTTGGGTCAAAAACCCACGTGGCAAGTGTATGACAAAATACGGCACTGGACGTTACGGAGGTGATCAGCCCGCATTCTGTGAGAGTTGATGGGGTGCCTCATCACATTAAAGACTTGCGACGGTGATGCAATCACTACCATTACTGAGCGATGAAAGCGATTCCGAAGTCTGGGAGTAGTGAGCGCTCAATCTGCCTTGAGTTAGACCTGCAGGGCAGTGATTCTGATAACAGCAGCCTCCCTGGGACACAGTGTTTACCGACACTCAAACCACAGACGAGAACACTCACGAGGATGAAGCTTGTGTTATTCCCCTTCGGAGGAGGACTCGACGGCGACGATCGCCACCTCCTTGCCATGTTTGTGATCATGAGATCAGGTGGGAGTGGGGAAAATTGTGAAAATGGCTTACCTCGGAAACGAGTTCGAATCTGTGCAGTGTGCAAACTCTGGTCCTTCCAACGGCAAAAGAAACCAAAATGGCGGCGCCCATATTTTATGCCGGGCGGTCTCAGTTAGTTAACGCGAAATCTCGTTGTCTTGTCATTCGCATGCAAATCGTTGTCGGTCCGCGGCTGTATAAAGCAGGCTCGTTTTGCTGTTTCGAATCAGAGAGCTTTCAGCTCGTGAGAAGGTTGGACGTGCGACACCGGTTTTCTTTGTTCCTGCCTGCTATCATCAGTTGAGTTGTTGCGTTACCTACCACAGTGAATAATGTAAATAATTACAATATCTCATTTAAGAAATATAGACATAGCTAGCTAGAGATAGTTATATGTGAAAATAAAATCCTAGTAGATCGGCAGTTTTGTAAATATTCAGACATGTGTGGGATTACCCCACTTGGTTTACCAAGAGGCTGTTAAGTGGCACTGTTAAACAACTAAAAATGAGACAATTCTTGTTTCTTCCACTATTTTTTTCTAGCAAACTGTAGAAGTAATGTCAGCATGAGTCTTGCTTGCCCCTTACTTGGGTTTATCTTTCATATACACATATGCGTGCATCACACAAACACAATTAGATAGATTTTAATTTAAATGTCTTCTTTCCGCTATTTTTGCATGTACATTTTATTTCTTGTTAATCATTTATTAGCCATTTAAAACACATGAAGATATCGTATTGTTGAAATTGATTCCATTTCCTTTCACATCTATAATAACTAATGAATGACAACCCGTGATTTACATATTATTTGCCACTGATTTTAAGTCCAACTAGGAGCAGTACTGCAACACAGATTTTATGCAACTTTAAGATTATTTATTGTGAATAAAATTACTGGATAGTTATTGTATTGACATTTATTTTTTAATTTAAAGTTTACCATGGAAGAAAGAAACTTCAATCAAAAGAGAAGCAAGTAAAGAAAATAATTGACTGGAAGAGAGCATTGAAAATTATTAAATTAAAAAAAAAAGTGGCATGGAGTAAAAATTTGTAAATAACGATTGAAAAAAAAATTGGAAACATTGGTAAAGCAAAAAAAATCTAGTCAAGGTTACAAAAGGAGATTTGAGAAAAAATCACTTAAGCTAAGCAAGAGAAAAGTGAGTTGAGCAAGAAAGAAAATGTTTGAAAATCTGTTCAGGAAGAGCATGTATTAATTTTGTGTAAAAAAAAAAAAATAATAATTTATTCAGGTGTATCAATTTTATTTTGATTAAATATTTGTTTCCTATATTTTTTTAGATTTATTTATGAATAAAAATTTAAGTTGCATTTTATTTTTACAAAATAAAAATTGACACTCCTTCGTAAAACAAATATTTAAAGCTAAGAAGCACAAAGGCTAAAAAAGCACATGCTATTCAATAAGTAATCATATCGGTTGGTTAATAATACCAATTATTTTACCGTGAAAAAATATTGACTTGCATTTAAGATAAAAATGCTGACATTGTGTGTGTGTGTGTGTGTGTGTGTGTGTATATTAATTCAGAAACCCTTGGCATTACGAAATTGATTATTTTCTTATGGTTTATTTTTATTTCGAGAAAATATTAAATTTTATTTTTCAAGTTGTATCCGCCGACTTAATGTCTTGTTCTGTGAAAGACTGAAGAAGAATCATCTAAAAATGAAAGAAAAAAAACATTTAAAACAAGAGAAACTTATTTCATTCGAAAAACAAAACTTGTATAAAAAAATTATGAAGGAAAAAACTTCCTTTTCTGTTTTATGACCTTTAACCTTCTTTGCTCACCTCCAAATTGAAGCTTTTACTTTGATTGTTTGGAAGCCGCTCTTTACTTTCGTCATGAGAATTCATCCTTGGCTGTTCTAAAGACTTTCGCAAAGAAAATGACTTTGAATCAATTTATGATTTCTTATACAAAAACAAAACTTAGAAGATAAGGTAGATAATTTTATTTAGGCGTAGATCATTTCTTAAAAAAATATCTCTTTTTACTTGATGAAATGGTTGTGAAACTAGAAAGAAATGTGAATAAGTCGAGAATAGTTTTTTAAAAGTTGAAGATGTCTTTCTTTTATTTATTAGATGAAAAATTTTAACTGCACTGTCTTGTCAAAAATCAAAGACATTTTATTTTTACTATACAATTTGATTTTTAGCTGTAATAATCACCCTGAAATGATTGTAAATGCATCAACCGGAATTATTGCCAAATGGTACATCCATAGAATTTCAAACAAAACTAATGTTAGCTGATTTTTTTCACCATTTCATTTAGAGTAAGTTTGTCGTAACACTCCCGTTTGTCACACATACACACAGACAGACAGACAACTGTTTATAAACGCACGTTCTTTGATGATGACGAGACGTAAGCTATCATCATAATTAGAGACACACACACACACACACACACAAAAAACACCCTAATTCTCAAAGTAAAGAGTAAAGAAAGACTATTTTTATTTTGTGTGTACTGTAGCCTAAAAAGCAATTCTCAATAAATGCGGAAAAAGGACCAGTAACATAATCACTGTTTTAAATGCATGAGTAAGAGGAAGTTAAAGGACATATTTGCTGGAATATAATTAAAGAGAAAGGAGAGGAGAAAAGCGAGATGGGGTTTGCCGTTTGCGTCAAAGAGAAGAAATAATCGTGCAGTTTTGACAGATTAGGAGAATTATGGACAGAAAGTGAAAATATATGGAGAAAATCTTTAAAAAAAGTTGAAAGAAAACAAAGAGGTAGATCAAAATCTAAAAAGAAGAAAATTATTATGTTGATTTGATAAAGAAAGTCGAAGTGAAGAGAGAGTAGAAAGGAGAGATTAGAGAGAGAGTGAAAGGAAAGTGAAAGCAGCGTCGTCAATAGAAAATGAGAGAAATATATTAACAGCTTTTAGAGAGTAGACACAGGAGAACGAGAAGAGAGACAGAAAGTATGTGTTGTAGAGAGAGGAGTTCAAACAAGGACAGGGTAGCGGAAAAGAAAGAATCGGCGTATTTTTTTTAAATATCGTAAGAAATTAATCGTTAAAAGAAGGCAAATAAAAGATAAGGAAAATCATAAAATGAGACGAGAATACAAGAGAGAAATTAAATATATGCGATGTTGATAAGGAATTATTGTGAAAAGAAGCAAACATAAATCAAGAAAGACTTAGAAAAATGGATTTAAAAACCGTTGTTAGAGAACTAAGTATTATTAACTAGTAGTTAAACAAAAATGAAAAAAAAACGGTAAAATAAAGCACTATAGAAAAAGAAAAGAAGAACAACGGTAATGTCGATAGAGTCTGTAAAAGCAAAGAGAAAAAGTAGCTTAAAATTAACGAAAGTGGGAAGTGGTTGTGTTTGAGTGGAAAAAACAAAAGGTCAGAGAGAGGGAGCGAATGCTAAAAGTAGATAGAGTAAGAAATAGAGAGAGAAAGGGGCAAATTTAGAGGAAGGGGAGGTGAATCAGCATCATCATCATCAACAACAATAACAGTAGTGGCCGCCATCGTATTGCAAATTTCTCTCACTAAGCTTTACATTCTGGCGGTAGTGGCAATTTCTGCCTGCCATCAAGCATAACCCGTAAATTTGATCTTCCATTTGTTTCAAATGAATAACTGGAGAATGGACTAATTTACATTGGTTTTCTAGTCTTCTTATTTAACATTTTCTGGATATTTTTTATCTTTGGATCTTCGTTGATGGCTATGGGGCTGTGTCGAAACGACCACGGCCTCTGGCCACACATCGCTACAATTTTACAGGTAAGTTTATTTCTTAAGAAGAGGGATCGATTTATTACTTGTCTAGAACTGGAAATGGATCCCTGACTTTTGGACCATACTATCTTTGCCTTTGAATCTGTTCTTTCTCTTATGCTTGTTTATGATGAGTGATCATTTAGTAAATGTTTTAAATAAAATAAAATTGCTCTTCTAATTATTATTAAAGATATTATCAGAAAAAAGTTTCTTGTTTCCATTTTCATACAAAACACTGTCGATTTTTTTCCATTTTAAACTTTTTATTTATTTACTGATCATTTTCAGGTGGAAATTTTACTAACCATCATTTATATTTGTGCTTTGTTTATGAAAGAAAATATATTTATTTTTCAGGATTTATAAAAAAAGAAAATCGTTAAACAATAAACATTTTATAAAACATTTATAAAAAGTAAAATATTTTAATGGATTTTTTAAAATGTGAGATCTTGTTTCGTAAGAAGATATCCTTGTTTTCCTTCCTATTTTTAATGCATTTATTTTATTTTCTGTAAATAAAACTATATTCCTCAATTTAAAACAATTTATTGATTTATTAAATACAAATGTCGAAACAAAATTGAAATTAAGTGGAAAATGAAAAATGATAAAAAAAATAGCCAAGTTTTCCTCTTCCAGAAAGCAGAAGACATGAAATAATGGCCATTTTCCCGTTTCCTTCGTTTCTCTACATTTTCACTAAATTTTTCTCAGTTCTTCTTTTAAGACTCGGAATAGATATAGAAAAACTGGATATTTATTTTGTTTTTTTTTTTGGTTCGAGTCTAAAAATGTCAGACTCAGTGTCTGCCAATGAAGACTGTAAGTTCCACTTCGGCTCTTTTTCTTGCTTTTTTTATTTTTTTATTTTTCCGAAAGGAAGAAATGATTATTCTTTCTTTTTCATTTCTCCATCCTTTTTTTTTTTTTTTTTAAATTGAAATCGTTTCTTTGTTAAATTCTTGAAACAAACTCGCTTATTTTTATTTTGAAAGTATATTTTTTTTGTCGCCTTGCATACATTTCTTCTTCTATTCCCACTTCGTTGTTTTTTCCTTCCTAAAATTCCTGAGAGATGGAGAAACCAGGATTTCTCGGGTTTCCTTCAAACATCAAATTTAGTTTTAAAAAACTTTTGTCAAATTCCAGTATTCAAGTAAATTTATTTATCGAACTGGCGGTAAATATTATTTAAAGAGAAGGCCAGTGTTTCAAAATCTTGGAAACGATAGCAGAGAAAGTATAAGTGTAAATGCCAGTCACTTTGACAATAACAAAAAGAAATCGTCATTATTCATGAAGGTGTCAGGTCACGTGATTATGCTGCCGTAAGTAGGCTTGTTCAAAAGCTTACCTCTTATTATCATTTACTCTGTACCTTGTTTTCACCTTTTGGCCTCTTAAAAGTTCACCTCAGTGTGTTTTGCTAATTGTTTTGTTTGTCAAAACAAGAAATTATTACTCTTGATCGTCATCTTTGAAGAAGAAAAGTCCAATTCCACTTTCCTTTCCTTGTTTCTGGTTGTTGTCTTCGTGATTTGATAAATTCTCGTAATCTTTTTGATTCATTTGTTTTATTCTTCGCGTCGTCGTTATTAGACTGACCGTCATAATTTTTTTTATTACTTTTTCATATATATACATAACTAACTTTTTTTTACATAACTAATAAAACTTGATTTAAAAAAAAACAAACTTTATTCTACAATTTTTTTTCTAAAATAACTTTTATGAATAATTATGTTTATTCAATTTTATTTTTAAGAGAATCATAGTGAACAGTAAAAAACAGCAACAAAAATTTTGCTTAATGTCTATTTTTTTACACAGTTGAGTAAGAAGGCTTGTCTGATTCATATCTTTTTCTCATTAATTCCCGTCCTTTGACTTATATGATCAGCTAATTATAGATTGACTAATAAAGCAGATTTCTTTCACCCTCACATGATATGGACTAGTTTGGTATTGAGATTCCCCCCCCTAATATTTATGATCAAACCAAGCATTATTGTACATTTATTTATAAAAAGTACCTCCTTTTTTTTTTTTTTTTAATTTTTTTTTTAGCCTAGTTAATTAAATCTGGTGTCATTACTGAACCATATTTTTAAACAAATTTTTCTTTAACATTTATAATTTTATTGATTTGTTTTAGTTGTAATTTTTAAAATCAAGAAGAAAAGCAACATTTTTGGAACGCCCAATTTTTTTTTTGTCTTGTCACAATGAAAATAAAATTGTTTATTGCCAATGATTTCAATGAAAGAAACGACTCGCTAATGAGTAATTTCTTCTTGACTTAGGAGGTGTATTATTATTATGAGTGTTAATTACTCCTCGAAATATTTTCTACAGTTTCTGGTTTCATCTCGTGCCACAGTGGGTTTTTTTAATTAGTGAAGTAATCAGATTTTACAAAAAAAAAAATTTATTGCCAATATTTTTCCAGTTGCTTTTTTTTATCATCCCCACGCACTTATTTTTAAATGCTACTATTCAAGCTTTGCTTTTTTTTCTGACTTTTTTTCTCTCTAAAACAAACTCCACATGTCATTCATCACCTAGTCGCCTTCTCCCTCCATCCCAGTCGTTATATGATCTATTTCGAAAACTATCTCACAAGTTGGTGCATTTTATCCTTGAATTAAAATTTAAATTTATAAAAATGAAAATCACTCTTCTTACCAAAGGTCTTCGAAAATTTAGAGATGATTCTCATATTGAAATTTAAAATCTGCTCACTTCAAAATGAATTTGACTGTTTTCCATTTCTTCCTTAGTTCTTTGTTCTGTCTTCTTAACCTTTTTTTTTTTTTTCTAATGGCTAACATTTTTCTTCTTTTGGTCACATTGTTACATATGTGAACTTGGATTACTGGCGGTTTTTTAAACATTTTTTTCTTATCAATAACTTCTGCTTCCCCCGCCGTCACGACTGACGGACCAGGAACCCATTTTCATTTTTCTCTTTGTTTAACTGAACATCGATCCTAGGCTTTGAAGTGTTAATTCTAAGTCAGCAAATGAATGATCCTGTCTCGCCGGATCTGTTAGTCGGATAATAAAATTTACATTACCAGGTAATGATTACCTGTGTCTACACAGAACCCAATGGTAGGAAGAGGAGTCAACCTGATCCTAGTAATTACTTTATCAGATTTATTCAATAATCCACCTTTCTGAAGATTAAGTTGAAAAACTTACCATGAGATTTTTCTTCTGCTGGAAAAAAAAACACCTTTCATTATTTGAATTCATTTTATTTTTACTTATTGGATCTTATTATGAAGCAAAAATTATTATTATTATTATTAATAGTTTTTTTTTTGTTTATTAAATTAGTGTTCACTGTTCAGTAAAGAATAATTGAAAGATTTATTTCTTGTATGTATTGTTTAAAAATAAATATGCGTGTACGTCTGTTTGTGTTTTTTTGCAAATATTAATTACTCATTGGAAGACAAGGCAGTTGAAGAAGGCCAAAGACTTAGTACATGGCCTAAACATTGTCTCCCTCCCACAAACAGCAAATGAAGAAATTGATCTTAAGAAAACCAGATTACCCATTTAGTTTTTACTGCTATGTTAATCATAATCGCTTTTAACTCCCGACTTAAGAGCCTAAAAGAAGTTCTTAATTCTTCGTGTTAAGCTTTGTGTCTTGATGCTATGTTCATTTGAGATTGGATATTTTCTGCAAACTGGCACACTGGAGATCCTCACAGCTTGCTACTGCCTCGTATTGCTTATGACTGAAGGGAAATCATTGGCATGAACTGTTTTTTTTCTTTCTTTACTCACTCCTCACTTATGTAATTCTAAAATCTAAACTTTTCTCTGATAGTATCCTTAGCTTTTCAGAATCTTCATTCACCTCTTTAAGTAGTTGTTTTAAAATGGATCTGCAATCCAATTTCATACTTCAAATGTAATTTTTAGTGGATACCCGTCGTTGAGTAGATGCCCTACTAAATAGCTAATCTGGTTTAAACAATATTTATTTCATGTACTGGTTTGCGTACTTGAGAATACATAATAAAGAAAATGTGTCCTCCATCATGATTCAAACCTAGATCCCACTTTGCAGGAGGAGAAGTTGACATGCTTTGATCATTCGGATACAAAAGGCTTCACAATCAAGCAAGCTTCTAATTTGCTTTTAAAGCAAGTTCCCTTGTTCAGATATTTCTCAAAATGGCATATCTGCTCAGTTTCATATCTGAAACATAAACAAAGCAATTTCTAAAGAATTAATGAGTTTTATTTTTATTACTTCAGTTATAAAAATATGACTATGTGCATATATATATATATATATATATATAAGCTGTGGATGATACTGTGGTACTTTGATCCTATTTTCATATTTGTCTTTTCAATTTATGAATGAGCTGACAACCAAATGTGTAATAATGATAATAAAGGTTATTTGAATAGATAGGATTTGTTGCTGTGTAAATTCATAAATAGTAGGGATGAGAGAATAATGTTCTTTCTGACCATGCAAGCATGGCATCATGTTATATCTAAACTTTACAACAAATTAAAAATTTTATCAGTAGTAAGATGTGTACTTTAGAAAAACATTAAACATTGTTGTAAAATATTATTCATATTTGCTTTGTCATTTATCACGTTTTCTTTTCAATGTTTTTAGCTTCAAAGTTCTATTGTAATTTTTACAATTTTCATGTACTTTTTCAGTTCTGTAATCTTTTAGTCATTGAAATTTAATTTATTGTATGTTCATTAATAAATTGAAATTTTACTCTGCCTGCAGTTTATATATTTGAAAAATATTCTCTATTCATTTTTGAAGTTAACATGGCAAGCTTTTTTTCCCCACAGTATACTTAATGGTTTTATTTTCATGATAATTATAAATGTTTTTTTTTTTTTTTTTTCTGAAAGAATGAGTACACAATTTAAATAAAATTAAAAATTTTCTCATTATATATAGTAAGTCTACAACAATTAAGAAAATTTCGCATAAAAATTAG